CTAGAATTAATGTGTCATTTTTTTATATCAAATTAATTGATATATATATATATATACAGTTGCAAGAAAAAGTATGTAACCCTTTGGAACTTCCTGGATTTCTGCATAAATTGGTCATAAAATGTGTTCTGATCTTCATCTAAGTCACAACAATAGACAAACACAGTCTGCTTAAGCTAAAACCACACAAACAATTATATGTTTATATGTTTTTATTGAACACACCATGTAAACATTCACAGTGCAGGGTGGAAAAAGTATGTGAACCCTTGGATTTAATAACTGGTTGACCCTCCTTTGGCAGCAATAACCTCAACCAAACGTTTCCTATAGTTGCATATCAGACCTGCACAACGGTCAGGAGGAGTTTTGGACCATTCCTCTTTACAAAACTGTTTCAGTTCAGCAATATTCTTGGGATGTCTGGTGTGAATCGCTCTCTTGAGGTCATGCCACAGCATCTCAATTGGGTTGAGGTCAGGACTCTGACTGGGCCACTCCAGAAGGCGTATTTTCTTCTGTTGAAGCCATTCTGTTGTTGATTTACTTCTGGGCTTTGGGTCGTTGTCCTGTTGCATCACCCATCTTCTGTTGAGCTTCAATTGGTGGACAGATGGCCTTAAGTCCTCCAGCAAAATGTCTTGATAAACTTGAGAATTCATTTTTCCGTCGATGATGGCAATCTGTCCAGGCCCTGAGGCAGCAAAGCAGCCCCAAACCATGATGCTCCCTCCACCATACTTCACAGTTGGGATGAGGTTTTGATGTTGGTGTGCGGTGCCTTTTTTTCTCCACACATAGCATTGTGTGTTCCTTCCAAACAACTCAACTTTGGTTTCATCTGTCCACAGAATATTTTGCCAGTAGTGCTGTGGAACATCCAGGTGCTCTTTTACAAACTTCAAACGTGCAGATCAGAACACATTTTATGACCAACTTATGCAGAAATCCAGCTAATTCCAAAGGGTTCACATACTTTTTCTTGCAACTGTATGTATACTTTTCTGTCTTGAAACTTAAAGATAAGGTAGGCTACCGACTGGATCTTCAGGACATACAAACAAACACAACAATAACCACTATCAATAGCTTCAAGTTCTCTCCAATATTCGTGTTTATACAGTTACACTAATCTTGGACTAAAATACTGCTGTAAAACAAACAGAGGACAAAACCATCTGAAACTTACCAACAGTGCTGTTGTTTTGGTTGTATAACATTGCATTTCAGAGGCTTAAAACAAAGACAATTATATATATCTGTTAAAAAGAGACTTAATGGAAAAATTGTTTTAGCTCCAACTTTGTCAAACTTGTCAGCGCCCTCTGTTGGACAAAGCATGTAATGGCAACATTATGTGTTGGACATTTCTACACTGCAGTCCGTTGTTATTTTGATTTTTTTTGTGTTTTTATTAGTAATTAAATCGATTTTTTTTCAAAGAGAGAAACCATAAAGTAAACCAATGTTACTCTGCCTTCTAGTAGAGTGCGAGCAGTCAAAGGACATTTAAATCAGTGCATGTACAGTAACTTGGCCTCAACCTACACGTGTTGTTACAGAATAAATGGATTTAGCACTTCCTCCCTGCTTCCTACTCACATGATCTTCCAAATTCATGCAAATAAACTGTTGGCTCAGTAAAGCCAGGTGTAAATGAGATTCAGATTGGTTGAAGAAGGAGTCTATTAGCCATAAAGCAGCTGTTGTCTTGTACTTTACTTTCCCCCCGCCTGTCCTCAGTGTTAAAGGACCCAGACATGCCGGAGTTTACCTGGCAACCAAGAGAACAGAGAAAACCTCTTAATGGTGAGGTGGCGAAGACGAGGTGCAGCCACTGAGAGGAGAGAAGGGAGGAGGAGGAGGAGAACCACAGGACAGAGGGAGGAGGGGGGGATGAAGGGAGAGTGATTGAGACAGTGGGAGACAGACGAGGACAGGCACAACCAACTGCAACATCACACGTCATCAGGTTAAGATGTACACTGACGCTCGGGAGGCTGAGGAAACGGGTGAATGAATGAAGGAAGGTTTGTCAAATGAAGAGTTATGCTTCATACATGTCCTTCTGGATGTTGAGGTGAAAAAGAGAAACAAAAAGAAGAAAGGAAACATTTGTGGCCTCTGTGTCCAATGAGGCTTTTATGCTGGTTTAAGTCACACATGGTGAGCCCCAATGTATCATTCCTTTTGTTTTTCCGTAATCAGATCGGAGGAGCCAATGTTTAATCTTTTGCTCCACCTACAGAAACAATAATGTGTCTATTTACTTCATTCGGATATCATTTGGACAAATGGTTGATCAAGGTTTTTCTACAAAACCCCATTTTTTATTCTACAAAAACCACCAAGGGTTTTTAAAACAAAACAGTTGTTCAACAATTTAAGTTGTGTTCAAATTCAAAGTAAATATCTGAGATCTGACCAGGTAGTCAGTGCTGTCTTTATTTCTTTAGGGCCTAATGAGTCACCCTACAGGTAAGAGGTTGTCTTCCAATATGAAACACCACACAGAATAAAATAAATAGAATAGAAGGAAAAAAGAATCAGAAAGAGATGGGACTAGGGAGGACAAGCTGACAAAAAACTGAGGAAACTGGCAGAGACAAAACATAAGAGTGACTATTTGCATTTTAAGGTGGTGAAAGTGTGTGTGTGTGTGTGTGTGTGTGTGTGTGTGTGTGTGTGTGTGTGTGTGTGTGTGTGTGTGTGTGTGTGTGTGTGTTTGAGAGAGAGGAGTGGGATGGAGAGGAGTTCAAAGATCATCAGGAACATTATCTAAATTATCATGAACCCCTCAGTGAACTCAAATCAAAACCTGTAATCTTTGGTTTCAATATCATACACTAAAAAGATGTCCACAAGCAAGACAACAGACACTGAATGAAATCTGCTGTCATTTCAAACTTCAAGTGACTTCAAGTTGGTTGCTTTGTTCTGCATTTTTTTTTTTTTTCTCTCGTTGTCTCGAAAATGTGCTGCTGTTTTAAAGTGAATACTATTCTTGTGAAAATGATGGTCCAATATCTTGCCACCAGGGGACAGTACATGTATTCACACCTGAAACAATACACTGAACATTCAAATGTAACCCTTTTAGATTCATTATCAGTGCAATTACATTTCATTAAGCCATTTGCAGGACAGGAGAAGGAGGAGTTTAAGACTCACCCAGTGTGGGAGCATTGAGCGCCATGACTCCGTAGAAGGAGAAAGGTCCGGTCTCAAACTTCATGTTCTCGTTGCCGGCCTCCACCTCCACTCGCCCCTGAAGAAAAGAGCAAGAGCATTGTTAATGATTGTATATGTTTTTTGCTTGATATTAACATTACAATTTATCGTTTTCAACCAGATTCCCCAAGATTGTTATTCTTTCTGAAGAGGTAAGGCCACTGAAGCATAATGTGACACCCAAAAACAAGTCCACTTTTAGTGACGTGAATTTTGAGGGTCTAGAAACTGTAGGGTAATCGCATCATCAGATTAATGATATATTCTCAGTTAATACAACAAAATAGAAAAATGTTAAAATGTCAACAAAACAAAAATGTAAAACCCAAATCTTCACATTTGAGAATCTACAACCAGCCAATGTTTGCTCATTTTCACAAGAAATCTTTATTAACTTTCTGTGGATCAACTCATTGACTTTTAGCTCTAAAATACCTTGATTACAAATTAATATTCAAGAAAGACTGCATTGGAAGCCTGACTTCCAGTGTGTATGAAATGACACCGTTTGTCCTCTAGAGGGCGGTACAACCACAGGTCAAAACCTTCACATTTACAGTTAACAGCCTATAGTCAAAACAAGGAGGAGTATTCATCAGTGATTGTTCTCTGGAGAGGCTCTGCATCACTTGTGGGATGAAACATTTTTATTTTGAACTTGATTATTTACTATTACAAACTTTACACATTTCAAAAGAGATGGGACTGCAAATCGAGCGGTGGTGCAAAAGAGGAGAGTGGGTAGACCAGAGGGATGCAGCGATGAGAGTCAGAGGGGGAGATGAGGGAGAGGCCAGAGGAGAGGACAGAAGGGGGTTAAGGAGGCCTCTGTGTTGGTTCTGTGAGTTGGCCTGAATCGGCCTGCTGGAATGTGTGAAGTGCAGCAACAACACAGCACAGTTAATCCTGCTGTCATTCCTCCTTCCCTCCATCCATCGCTCCGTCCTCCCCAAACAGAGGGGGCGGGCAGATGAAAGCAGGACAGGTGGCAGCAAAGCACAACAAGAAAAATGCACGGAGCTCGTATCTTACAGCCACGAGTTATCATTTAATTTCTTAAAGTAAGTCAGTAAGTTATTCCTCAGCAGAATTGTGTATGTGGAGTATAAACTCTAAAAAATTAAAATAAAGTCAATCATGCTTAAAACAACATAATCTTACATTCAAGATTTTAAAGGGGTCTTAGTATGCTTTTGTTTTTTGTGCATGTACATGGTCTGCAAAGGTTAAAATCACAAAGTTCCCTCCCACACTCTCACCTCTATTGGACTCCTTTGTCTACTTCTGTAACATAATGACATCACTATATAACACTCGCCCTTCTATTGGCTAGCGCTCCAAAACATTGTACGTGATAGGTTAAGGGGTTGAACATCTCTAAGCGGTTGGCCACGGCTAACCAATCAGAGCACACTGGGCTCTGGTTTCAGACAGAGGGTGAAAAGAGGTGCTGCAGCACAGGCAGCATGAGAAAAATAAAGACATTTTGGAGCATTAAAGCATGTAAACATGTCACAGTCATAAAATCTGTCACGTTTTGGGTTAATATTTCACCCATAAAACCTCAAGTGTTGGAACAAGCAGAAACAGAATACTTGTGTGAGTAATGTGGTAAAGCCAGAAGGTTAAATGTGAATGTATGAAGAACACAACGCTGCGTTATGCAACAAGAAGAGATCTTTTTACATAAACACGTCAATAAAAAATGTATTAAGTATTGTGTATGTTTTTTCTTGACCCTAAACTTGTCCTGCCATACGCCAATAAACTGGTATGACCGTCGGATTTCCAAACATAAACGATCTGATACAACCATCCCCTTGTGCTATTTTAGGGAGCGTGCCAATTTAGAAACCTTGCCTGGATATTACAGAGGAGGGGGGGGGGATCTGTCACTGAAGTAACAAAGTAGGCTGGTCCCATCACAGACACAGCGCTGAATTAAGCTCACAAACATCTCCCTGCAGCTCAAGTGTTTGACTAAATGTATTGTACATCAGTGACACTCTAAAATGTCAGATGTCTTACTATTTTTGCCGTTGTTTTCTCGAGTAACAACAAATTGTGTTTTCTTGATATCCCTCCAACATCCCAACAAAGAAAGAACATCTTCTAAAGACCTTTCATCTTACATTAATGCTTACTGATAGTATTACTTTCTTACTTACACTCTATAAGGGTGCAACATGCCATTTTCATTCGATTTTTGGGTTTTGCTTGGTCTATAAAATCATATAAAATCTGCAAATACACCTATCCATGTTGCTATAAAATAGAGAAATCAAGTCAATTCTCACATTTGAGAAGCTGGAACAAAAGCATGTTTGCTAAAGTTGGCACGTGTAGTGTCTCATCATGTGTGCCTCTGTAAAAATGTGCATTGTCATACCTTCAGGGCTTAGTTTACATATTCTGCCTAACAGTGTTCTCTCACGTTTAACACACATGTTTGTTCTCTTTCAGGCCCCTGCTTTCAGGGATCCTTTGTTTTCCATGATCTTCTGAAAAATAAAAGTAAAAACAGACTGGAACACAGAGGGCAGATCTCCACCAAAGCCAGTGGTGCATTCACCTCCCCCGAGTTGGTCCTCCTCCAACTTCAGTTAGTTTGAGCTTGGAGCCATAATTGTTAAAAACAACATGGACGCTACAAAGAAGATTTGACTGTAAATAATTGTTCAGAATTCATTCAACACGTAATGTTGTTCTGATTTCAGAGGGGCCATCAGGTGAGTTATTCTGACTCCCCATGAATGCAGCATAAATGCCCTATCTCGCAACGTTAAAGAAAGTGACAAGATGTGTATATGAGCCCCGGAAACGTTCCAACATGGAATGGGTCCTTCCTTAGCCCATGCTCCACCAAGTATCATTGGGAATTTGGCCAGTTGTTTGTAGCATAAAATCTGCTGGCAAGCAAATAATTTGAGCCGAGAACTTAACCTCCCCTTTGGCAGAGGTAAACATAAACACATTTTCTTTATTGAGGGCTCTCCAACAAGCTGTCAATTATGTCGGAGATACTTCTTTTGACCTCCATTCACCACCATTTTCATGACACTTGGAGGAAGGGTGTAGCATAAGCCAAGGAAAAGCACATTTATTTTGGAGCAGATACAAATGATGGGGCCAAAATACAAACTATGTTCCACTTCCGTTCACATTGCGTGATGCATTTTGCCATGGCGGAGTTCTGCTCTTCTAGTTTATCTTTATGTTGAAAGGGATAATTCACTGGGCATGAATGCCTTTGCCACAACGCACTGGTCCATATTCATCCAGTTACACACAGTTTCACACCTGCTCAGTGCCTCCACAGGCCGCTGAGAAATCAGAGGTCACATGCCTTGCTCAAGGACACATTGCTGCTGAGGGGGGAGCAGCCATGCACTGCAAACCTCCTTCAGCTTTATCATTTAAAAACATAGGATGCCAAGTAAACGTTGTCTATCTACTAACTTGGCCCGTTTCTTTCATAATCCTAAATTGACCCCCACAGTATGGACTGTTCACAGCTGTGTGATTTCTTCTTTTGACACTTAATGCAGAGGTTCAACCTCCTGAGCTCTGTGGTCAGCTTTCTCAACATATATGCGCAGATTTGGATAGATGCTAATCAACATATGGTCGACATTGTGTGTGTGTGTGTGTGTGTGTGTGTGTGTGTGTGTGTGTGTGTGTGTGTGTGTGTGTGTGTGTGTGTGTGTGTGTGTGTGTGTGTGTGTGAGAGCAATGGTCAGGGTAAAATACTTAGCCTGTAACACATGCACATACACAATGTAAAAATCCTACATGCCTCAGAAGCAGAAGGCGATTCGCAGCCGTCATCGCTGCTGCGTGGTTGGTGTTTAAATTAAAAAGGGAGGCACGGGGGAGGCAGGAGAGAAAGAATAGAAACAGAGGGAGGCGGAGGACAGGAGAGAGAGGTGTAGAGCCTGCCGGCGCTCCGGTCAGACCCGTTCTCCCAGATCTGCTCTGACAGTACAGATTGCCAGCACTAGCAACAATATACTGCACCAACATCGGGCTATTATTTATGAAACAGGCACTGGGTGGGTCCACAACTGACACTCAGTCAACTCTGGCCACAGGCTGTTATCATTAGTCCTTATTTCTGATATTCAGGCATGTGCACCTTACTTCACAGTTACTGCTGTCTCAGCCTACAACATCTCCAATACAATCTAGGGTAAACTTTGTCAAAGAAAGTTACTAACCTACTAAAGGCTCTATGTGACAAAGGTCAGGCTTTAGTATGTCACACACGTGACCATGGAAATAAGGAACAAGCATGTGCTTGCAGGTGGTTTAAGGTGTGGATCAGAAAAACATTTGCTGAACAATAGAAATGCAATTTTTTCATTACATCTGAAGCAAAATCCACTACACACAATTATTATGAGCATTAGAAAAAATGTATAAACTAAAGTTATCGTCAAATAATGTATTTATAAAATCAAATCATATAGTGCATTTAATGTTTTATTATTCTTCTTACATTTAACCCAGTATGAGCACTGTTGGGTCTTACATGAACAAATACATATTTGTCTAAATGTTGGATTTTTTTAAATGATTTCACATTATATTTTGTGTTTTTGGTTTTTAACTGGTTTAAAATAGGTGAGGCTAATAAAAGGTCACACCATGTACTTTGAGCACCAATCAGAGTTCGGTCAAATTGAAATCAAAATAAGATAACAGTCATGAGACATCAACACTGTCACGATGAGGCTGATAGCTAAAGGTCTTTTTCTGAGCACAATGTTATAAATACATTTCGAAACACGCCGGTAGGACAGTCCCTACAAACTTGTGCCGTGGAGTCACATATTTATTTTCTTTAAATCCATAAACCTCCTACATTTTTGTAAAGATAACAAGGTTTCCAAAGATAGTAAATATGTCAGGCTGAATTTTAAGGAAGTGTATATAGAAAAAGCACAAGCCATGTAGAATATTTACATTAGCTGGTGCAAAACAAAGTTATACAGAATATATATTTCTATGCAAGACAATGTGGGATGATTTGACAAC